TGCAAAGCTTCAGTAATTGGCAAAGATGTCTACTTTTCACTTGACCATAGCACAAAATAAATACTTTTCTTATTCTGTAGGCATCCTAACAAGACAAAGACAAGTGCACTATTAAGAAAACTTACCCGCAGCTGCCATCCACTGATCACAGAGATATGTTTAAACATGTTTTGTTTGGAACAAACCCATGCATGTATGAACTGGAACAGTAGTAGCAATACTTTTTGACTTGCCCTCATACGATTGTCATTCAAATAGGTATTGAGTTTGACTTTCAATAGACAAAGCTAAAGACCAGACTAAAACACACACCACGTATATATAAACCCACCAGAAAGGCTGAAGCGAATTTGCTTCATAGATGTAAAACTGACCTCTTCCACAGTTAGGGAAAGAAATCAATTGAACGTTCATCAGATAGAATTTATGTAAAAAAAGTACTTTTTTTTGGTAAGAAAAATCCAACCCCCTGCCCTCAAGTCAATTCCAGCTTCTGGTGACCCTGTCTGAGGGACAAAGATGTGGTAGTCTTCTCCCATGAAGATTTTATAGCCTGCAAACCTTACGGGGCAGTTGTGCTCAGCCCGAGGTGGTCATGGGACTTGGAATCAACTGGATGGCAGTAGGGTGGCGTTTCCTTGTGTTTTGGATGTCCTTTTTGTTTTGTTTTGAATGTTTACTGGAGCACACAGCCCTATCTTTGTCCTGTGGGTATGAAACACATTTGATTGACAGCTGAGCACTTGACCACTATGCCACCAGGGCACAGTGAATATTTATAAACACACAAAGATGCTTAGTAATATTTTTGGTCCATTTGTAAGTCTTTCACAATTTGCATAACTTTTACATATCTCATGTTGATGGAAAGGTAAAAGTTAAATAAGGATATTCATAATTAAATAATTTTATACCATAAATGTTGGCTGTATATAGAATATGTAAAGTACTTGAATCACAAAATCACAAAAAGAAAAACCCTTAACATCAAAATAGAAATGTAACTTTATTGTGACAAATAGAAAAACGTATGCTGTATATGTTGTTGTTGAGTGCCATCAAGTCAGTTCTGGCTCACAGCGACCCTGTATAGGGTTTCCAAGGAGTGGCTGGTGAGTTTGAACCACCAACCTTACACTTCAAACCAACCTTAAGGTTGAGTACTTATCCTGTGGCGCCACACTAGGACTCCATACTTTTTATAGGTGTTTAATTATAATAGTAGTTTTTCTGTAATAATAGGTTGGGTTTTTTTTCTGTAGGAATTGATTGAATTCTAGGTGCATTAATTTTAGCATTTGTTTAAATAATAAGGATAAGTAGAACTTTTAAGCATATCATGGAACATGGATATAAAGGATATAAAACAAGTCTTGTCAAATGAGATGATATTGATTAATAATTTAATTGCACCTAAAATAGATCCCTTTTGCAATCTGTAATAAAGTTCAGAATATAATTATATTCCAGAAAGCAATTGAGATAACTCAAATGGTAGATGATACTTACATTTAAAATTATTTTTGGCACAATTGAGCTGTACCCTTAAGTTTGCCAGAATGGCACTGAAAACCTGTCACTCACATTTTCAAGAAATAAGGAATTTTATTCGCAGTGGTTACGAATCGGGCTGTGAACCGCAAGGTCAGCAGTTCGAAACTACCAGCTGTTCTGCAGGAGAAAGATGAGGCTTTCTACTCCTATAAAGATTTACAGCCTCGGAAACCCTGTACAGGGTCACTATGAGTCAGAACTGACTCCATGGCACGTAACAACAACAACAACTTTTTATTTGTTGATCCTTTTTGTTAACTTCATTATTTAGGCTCTGTACAGATGATGTGACAACCCAAACCCTGATATAAAACCAAACCAAACCTAAAATGATGTCTTGTGTCCTATAGAAATAGAGCACAGTAATTAGCAATAATATCCACAGGGTATGCACAGGTCAATATACGTATTCTTAGGGATTGTTTTCTGCTTATCAACTGATTCCTGATAGTGACGACCTATTAGACTGCTTCTTTTTTAATTGCACACGTGCTTTTTATTGTAGCTAATGGGTCTAAAACTGAAGCAGGTCTGCTTTTCATATCCCTCTCCTGGCCTCTTTACTAGATTACAGCATTCCACTTGTTAGTATCAGTGACGCAAGAGAAACTTTTACTATTATTTTGTTTGGTAGTGATAAAGAAGACAGAACAAGTCTTTTTATGGTAGCTGGGTCTTTAAAACAACTCTTCATGGTTTTGTGATAACCGAGACAGAAGTTGGATATCAAACAGAGGTACATTAGTTTGTTATCTGTGTAGCTGATACAGCCTCTTAAATTCCCTCACAATGCCAGGAACCCCTTCTGAAGTGAAGGCTTGCAGAGCTGGAGATACTGGAGGGCTCTCTTTCCCCACAAGTGCAAGTAGACTTAACCCTACTTTGTATAATAAAATATACTAAGCAATTATTATTAATTGCTAATTACTAATTATTATGCAAACACCATATTCTTTTTTTCTGTAGATTATAAAATGGTCAAAGAGGTATTTGATGATTGCTATCTGTGGGAAGTTTAGTTTAACATTTTAGCATATAAATAAGAGCAAATTAAATTATGAATTACTTTGTTTTAAAATAATGAAAATGAAAGGAAAGTACTTGGAGATTTCAGGTTAGAATGAAAGTAAACCAATGGTTTATATTCTAAAATTGTAATAAAGTTTAAATGGTAGTCTGTATTTCAAATACTATTCGATTTCTGATTTTAAAGTAAATGAACTTTATGATCTTGCCTAATCAACCTGTAGGTAGTGTTTCAAGGACTGTGTAGGTTGTAAGAGTTATATGTGTTTCATTAGTCTAAGTCTTAACATTTTCACTATTGATAGCAATAATGTGCAGTGAATTGGCAGGCAATACTTACTACTGTGGTTGCGGGAAGGTAAATATCTCCATCCTATAGTGTTCTGAACAACCGGACCTTTTATGGCTGAATGTACATATGTGTCCACGTGATTAGTCTCACAGAGTTCAGTGTCATGGGGCAGATGTTAGGAAAACAAGTGTCGTATTTGCTCGTGTTTACTATAATGAGAATTTCTGGCATTATGTATGAAATTCTTAAGCACATGCAAGTAATTTGAGAAGCTAGCATAGCTGTACTAAGGATTACCTGTAATTCCTTACGCATGCAATAAATGTTACTTCAGAGAAACAAAAAAATTGTGCACTCTATGTTTTGTGTTTACAATCTATTTCCTTCAAGAAAAAAGTGAAGGATTCATAATTATTGAAAATCCTGTTTTAAAGGATATTAAAATAATTTATTACTAATTTTTAAATTTTTACCCTAGATACAATTTAAATAGTATTTATTAATGAATTTATCTGGGATTAGCTATTAATCAAACTTTGTTTCCTACTTACTTAATAGTAAGCTCTGCTAGGTAGGCTTACTTGGAAAAATTTACTAACTTTCCTAAACTTCTCCGTGGCCAGCTGGAAAAATTAGTAAGTCTCAAAACTTAAATTGTTTAAATCAGTAGTTCTGTCTTAAAATAAAAACAAATAAAGCCTAAGATTAAAAAGCTCAAGTGTAAAAGGTCAACTTATTGAAATTAGTTGTTCTACTGTGCTATGTAGGGCCGGCCACTAAGAGTCAGAATCAGCAGCAAATAACACTTCACAAGAAGACTCCAGAGGACTTTTTTAAGTTAGGAAAAAAAGCCTTAGCCATTCTAGAAAAAATGTTTCATATATATTCAAATCTTTTATTTTAAATTTCAGTTTATTCTTTTAAAAGCTAAACAAGTCATTTCATGATGACTTTATAAGTCAAAAAAAATTTTTTTAATCATAAAATCAACCCATATTCACTATTTTTATCACTAAGCAAAAGGTGAGAAAAATTAGTATTATTTAGCACATACTTTCACACTCAAGAAAGTTCTCCGGAAACTCAATTCAGTAAATTAAAGTAAATAATAAAGGCGCTCTAGCTCTTTCGCTATGAGTTGGATCCAACTCGACGGCACTTAACAACAACAATAGCTCTGTAGCTAGCAAAGGGGGAACATTTTTTATTAAATTTAAAAAAATATGTAAAGTCACTAATAATGTGCCTATAATTTACGCAGGAGTATTTACAACCATGTAAAGATATAAATAAAGCTTACATTTGAGCTTTTATGCTGTAAAGTGCCCTCAAGTCAGTTCTGACTCATAGCTACCTGGTGTGGTGCTGTAAGACCAGCACTGTATTACAAACCACAAGGTCAGTAGTTCAACTCCACCACTTGCTCCTTGGAAACCCTATATAGGATCACTATGAGTCGTAACCAACTTGCTAGCGCTTAACAACAACAACAACAAAAGCTCCTTGGGTTTCCAAGGAGTAGCTGGTGAGACTGAACTGCTCACCTCGCATTTCTGTACCATTTCTCATGCTCATTGGCCCTGTTAGGTCATTTGACCAGGTTGTAATCAGATTTGAGTTTAACTGTCAGAACAGTACAAGTAGTTTTGGACTGCTGCTCCTATGAGTTGGACCTGACTCGATGACACTTAACAACAGTATAAGTAGTAAGGATTCCTGGTAGGGCGCTGTAGGATTAGCACTGGACCAAGGCCAGTTTGAACCACAAGATCTGTCTGTCATTCAGACTCACCAGCCTCTCCTCAGAAATCGTGTACAGGGTTGTTAGGAGTCAGAACCGAGTAACTGGCACTTAATAGCACCAACAGTAAGTGGTTTGGAAAGGACGAGACCAGACAAGGAAATACACCTTTTCCTGTCATAATGTATAATAAGTGCATTTACTTTTATTTTGTTTAAGGTTTACCTTATTTGAAAAATTAAGAGTACATTTGTAATCATTAGAAAAACCCTTTCAGTGGCTCTTGTATAATTTAATAAATTCAATCTGTGCTCTCTTTAAAATTTTTACGGGAAAAACCATGGCAAGTTAGTATTATTGTGTGTGAATTTTCCAATTGTATTTCAGACTTTAAGAAAGAAAGGCCTTAATGGTTGTGAGAGCCCTGATGCTGACGATTATTTTGAGCACAGTCCACTCTCGGAGGACAGATTCAGCAAACTAAATGAAGATAGTGATTTTATTTTCAAACGAGGCCCTGTAAGTACTTTTACTTTACCTCTACTTTTTATTTGTTGATCCTTTTTGTTAACTTCATTATTTAGGCTCTGAACAAGAAGGAGCACAGAGGGTGCGACAGCCCAGACCCTGATACTTCATATGTGCTAACTCCACATACGGAAGAAAAGTATAAAAAAATTAATGAAGAATTTGATAATATGATGAGGAATCATAAAATCGCAGTGAGTACTAAAGTATGGTTTGTGCTTTTATCTTGTGCATGAAAAAATAGTAACCAAATATCATGCTTATTTTCATAGTGGCCAAAGTAAGTAGCAGGACAAATCCTGCCATTTGTCTCATTTTTATTTGGGATTTATAGAATTTTTAATGGAATTTCTGGAATATTATAATAATGTGTATACACAGCAAAAGTAAAAAAAAACCACCTACTCCTGTCTCTGCTGTTTACTATCCCTGTTCCTTTGAGATTCCAGTTTCCTCATCTGTAAATGGGTGATTTGGCTTACATAGACACTGCTCCCTCACAGCTCGAATATTCCATATTCAACATAGAGAATAGATGAGACTTACCCTCCTTCCCGTTACTTTAAAAACGTCATGTGTACTCGATTAGATCTTGACAATATAGAATGTAAAATGGTTAAAATTTTTAAATCTGATATTAAAAAGTTATTTATATTATTTTGTATAATTTCTGTGCTTTGTAAATGTCTTGCTTGTTTCCTACCAGACTCCAACTCTTTTCTGTAGGTTCTGAGGAAGGGAAGCCTAGCTTAATTTAATTGTAAGGAAGCAATGTTCTTAAACTGTTTACAAAAGAAATAGTTGATTTAAATTTTTCTATGCTTATGCATCTAGCCATTGTGAAAGAGCACTTACATGAGTTCATGTTCTTGAAGTTAAGAGTTCTTCTCTTCTGAAGCTTCATTGGCAAAAACTACTTAAGGTAGCCATTCTAGATATAATTTTGTATTTTTATATATGTGGTAAGGGTTCATGGAACACATTGCTTCCAAAGCTAAAACTTATTTCACTGTTAATACTAATTTTCTTAAAATCATGTCCCAAGGAATAAATCATACATAGCTTCTTCAAAATAGACCTATTCTATAAAAAGCTTATGAGAAATAGATACAAGGTTTTTTTTCTGTGATGATAACATTATTGATTTGCAACTAAAATAAATCTTGCAGGGATGCTGTGCACAATAACCAGTGAATGTTAAGCTGCAAACATACTGCATGAATAAAATTAACGTTTTAATTTTTTATTGTATATTGTTGCATATTTGTTAATTCGTTATTAAAGTGTTCCTTCTGAAATAGACTACTACTGAATACAGTACATAAACTATGTCTATCCCTTTAACTTGGAATTTGCAGTGCTACCTTACTATGCAAACCACTGTTTTAAAATGTAGGGGAAAGGAAATTCTTTTCTACTTTCACTTCAGATTATAAAGTGGACTGTTACTTTTAATTGTTAATAAGTATATTATGAATGGTTTCTGTGAGAAATGTCAGAGAAAAATAAATGCAACTGTAATTTTGGCAAACCTGAAAATACTATGAGTTAGGTATGAACCGTTTTGGAGGGAAGGAAGATAGCATTTACAAGACTGTGACTTTAATCTAAATATTTAATAATTCATATCATAATTTCTTTACTAGCTTTTCAGTAATTGATTTTGTTGTATAAATTTAAAGTTTCTTTGCATTTTCACTATACCTTTATTGCATTGCATTATGTACATATTTAATTTTCTTTAGTTTTGCCTATTAATCATGTTAGTTAAATCAGCTTTCACAACAACAACATATTCAGTCAATAGTAAATGTGCTTTTCCCTTATTGGTTACATTTGAATTTGGTCATAAAAGTGTAATGTCGCTAATTTTTGGTTACTTGGTAACAAATGATATATTTTTAATGTCTAAATTTCAGTACAGTGCTATAATGTCAGGTTATAACCTAAATTTCATCTCTTACTATTTGAAATCTATAGTATAGATTATATTTGTTGTTAAGTGCTGTGGAATCTATTCCGACTCATAGCGACCCTGTATAGGGTTTCCTAGGAGTGACTGGTGAGTTTGAACTGCCTTGCTGTCCAATGTTTATTCTACAGCACCACATCAAGACTCCAGTATATATAATACCAGTGTGTAAAAATTGAAACTGAAAAATTTCATGTTAATCATAATTTATTTATAATTGAAGTATAATTCTAAAGAAAATATCCTAAATCTACCAGTAGATTTAAGAATCTATCTCCATCTTCTGTTGTTAATTACTATAGATATCGTGTCAAATGAATGCGTATAATTTTTTAGTATAGATGGAAATTAACAGTTTTTTCTTCCTTGTTGTTCATTACAGCCTGGTTTGCCACCTCAGAATTTCTCAATGTCTGTCACAGTCCCTGTGACTAGCCCTAATGCTTTGCCATACACAAACCCAGGGAACTCACTTGTGTCCCCAACTTTGACATCCAGCTCAACGTTAGCAGATACAAGTATGCTCTCACCACCTCAAGCCACATTACATAGAAATGTATCCCCCGGAGCCCCTCAGAGACCACCAAGTACTGGCAATGCAGGTATGTAATGATAACTTCTGCTAGTTTGTTAGTAAAGAAGAGGGAATAAAGTAATTACTAACATAAGCATAAATTATTTGCTACTCTCAATGTATTGCTTTGATGGGCAGAAATCATTACTATATGAATTACTCCTCTATAAAGTATTTTTTAATATCCAAAGATGAGGTACTTTGCTTCCACAAAGATTTAAGGGCCTCAGAAACCCTGTGCAGTGTAGCTATGAGTTTGAATCAACTAAATGACATTTCACAGCAACAACAATGTGGCTTTAGCACTGTATCAGGTACAGTGGATCAGCGTAAAGAACTTGCCCTTTATAAACTTTCCTTATCATGAAAAAGTCATACATACTTAGACAGGCAGAAAATTTAATTAGAATTTTAAAATAAGGATTTCAAATTTGGCATAAGCAATTTAAGGATTCTGGGTGGTGCAAATAGTTCTGCACTCTGCTGCTAACCATCTAGTCAAAAGGTTAGTGATCTGACCCACTAAGGCTCCACAGGAGAAATGACCATGCTAAACACTGGACTGTTAACCTAAGGGACAACGATTCAAACCCAACAGCTGCTCCCTAGAAACTTAATACATATTCAGCGGCACTTAACAGCATCACCAGTATGCTCCTAGTAAATCCTGTAAGGCAGCTCTGCTCTGTCATATTGGGTCACTATGAGTCAAAAAGAAACTTGATGAACTTAGCAGCAACAGTAAGTCATTTATGTTAGAAATACAGTTATAGGTTGCTTACCATCCATGCTTTGTGAACTAGGATGTTATATGTGGTTTGGACATTGTGTGAATGCCATATTAAAACCTTACGGGATACCACTTCCAGTTGTCCTCTCCATGACTGCTGCTGCTTCTCTGGAACTGCTAGGAGTGGTGATGAGAGAAGGAAGCAAAGTGAGAGCAAACGAGCAGGCATAGGAGGGAATGGCCAGCCACACCTGCATGATCAGATCAGCTCAGGCCCCAAAACAGCCAACCCCTGCCTACAGAAGCATGAAAGCCCAGTTCTAGAAGCTAATCCTCTGCCTCCTGACTTTGATCCCACCTGGGATCTGGTGCTACAAGAGCCTGGATTTGGACTCCAACTCTTTGCTGTAAAGTTGATTTCGATTCTTTTTGCTGTTAGATGCTATCGAGTTGGTTCCGATTCACAGCAACCTTATACACAACAGATACACCGCCCAGTCCTGCACCATCCTCACACTCATTATTATACTTGTGCCCATTGTTGCAGCCACTATTCCAGCCCATCTTGTTGGGTGTTTTCCTATATTTTGGTGACCCTCCACTTTACCAAGCATAATGTCCTTCTCCAGGGACTGGTTACTACTTATAATGTGTCTGAAGTATGAGAGATGAAGTCTTGATATTCTGGCTGTACTTCTTCCAACACAGATTAGTTTGTTCTTTTGAAGATACTTTTAATGTTCTTCTTCAACACCATAACTGAAATACATCAATTCTTCTATAGTTTTCCTTACACTGTCCAACTTTCACATGTATATGAGGCTGTTGGAAATACCATGACTTGGATCAAGCACCCCTTAGTCCTCAAACTGATATCTTTGCTCTTCAATACTTTATAGCAGCAGATCTGTCTAATGCAATGCATCATTGGATTTCTTGATTGCTACTTCCGTGAGTGTTGATAGTGGATCTAAGCAAAATGAAGACTCTGGCAATGTCAGTCTTTTCCCCATTTATCATGAAGTTATTTATTGGTCCAGTTGTTAGAATTTTTTATTTCTTTGCATTGAGATGCAACCCGTACTGAAGGCTGTGGTCTGAACTTCATCAGTATGTGTTTTAACTCCTCTTGGCTTTCAGCAAGCAAGATTATATCATCTGCATAACACAGTTTTTATTGAGTCTTCCTACAATCCTGATGCTACATTCTTCTTCATAAAATCCACCTTCTCGGATTATGTGTTCAGCATACAAATTGAGTAAGTGTGGTGAAAGAATACAACCCTGGCACACTTCTTTCCTGATTTTAAACCATTCAGTGTCCCCTTGTTCTTCTATGTACAGGATCTTCATGAGTTTAATCAAGTGTTCTGGAATATTCATTCTCCACACTGTTGTCCATAGCTTGTCAAGATCCACAAAGTTGAAAGCCTTTGCATGGTCTATGTTGTTGTCAAGTGCCGTTCAGTTGATTCCGACCCATAGCAACCCTATATAGGGTTTCCAAGGAGCAGCTGGTGAGCTTGAACTACTGACTTTGCAGTTCAAATGACTTTGCAGTCTGATGCATTAGCCCACAATGCCACACCAGGACTCTATATAAGAGAGCAGCTGGTGGGTTTGAACCGCTGACCTTGTGGTTAGCAGTCTAGTACTTACCCTACAGAGCATAAAGCACAGGCAGACATCTTTCTGGTATTCTCTGCTTTTAACCAAGATCCATCGGATGTCAGCAGTGAGTCTTTCAATGTACAGCCTCCTCGGAGTCCAGTTTGAATCTCTGGCAGTTCACTGTCAGTGTTCTGTTGCAGTCAGTTATTTTTGACAAAATGTTACGTGTATGTGATATTAACGATACTTTCTAATGATTTCCGCTTTTCTTTGGGTCACATCTCTTTGGGACAAGCACAGATATGAATCTCTTCCAGTCAGTTAGCCAGTTAGTTGTCTTCTAGATTTCTTGGCCTAGATGATGAGTGTCTCCAGTGCTGCATCAGTTTGTTGAAAATTTCAGTTAGTGTTCCATCAGTTGCGGGAGCCTTGTTCTTTGCTGATGTTTTCAGTGCAATTTGGACTTCTTCCTTCAATACTATTGTCACTTGATGATGTGTTGTCTCTTGAAATGGTTGAGCATCTTTTTGGTTCAGTGATTGTGTATTCCTTACATCTTCTTTTGATGCTTTCTGCATCATTCAATATTTTACCCACACAATCCTTTAGTATTTCAAATTGAGGCTTGAATTTTTTCTTCAGTTCTTTTAGCTTGAAAAGTGCTAAGCATGTGCTTCCCTTTTGGTCTTTGCACATTTCATTATAAAACTTTGTCTTCTTGAGCTGCCCATTGAAATTTTCTGTTCAGTTCTGTCACCTCTTCATTCCTTCCATTTGCTTTCATGTCTCTTTGCTGGAAATCAGAATTCAAAGTCTCTTCTGACATCTGTTTTAGTCTGTTCCTTCTTTCTTACCTTCTTAATGACCTTTTGCTTACTTCTTCTGTGATGTTCTTAATATCATCCCACAATTCTTCTGATCTTCTGTTACTAGTATCTAATGCATCACATCTGTTCTTTAGGTGCCGTCTAAATTCAGATGGGATATGTTCAAGGTCAGATTTTGGCTCTTGTGGACTTGGTTTATTTTTCTTCAGCTTTGGCCTGAATTTGCATGTGAGCAATAAATGGTCTGTTCCACATTCTGTCCCTGACTTTGTTTTGGCTGATGATACGAAACTTTTCCAACTTCTCTTTCTATAGATGTAGTCAATTTAATGAATATATATTCCACCTGATGAAGTCTGTGTGGTGATGTTGTAGTTGAGTATAGTCAACTCATAGTGACCCTCTATAGGGCTTCCGAGGAGTGGCTGGAGAATTTGAATCGCCGACCTTGCAGTTCAGACCGACCCTGCGGTCCCCAGTGCATTATCCCACAGCACCATACCAGGGCTCTGAGTCTATCTGTATAGGTATTTTTTATGTTGTTTAAAACAGGTATTCGCAATGAATAAGTCATTGGTCTTGCACAGTTCTTTCAAGGGATCTCCAGCATTGTTTCTATCACCAAGGCCATGTTTTCTAACTGCTGATCTCTTTGTTTCCAACTCTTACATTCTAATCACCAATAAGTATTAATACATCTAGATTGCATGCTTGATCAATTTCAGACTGAGGTTGAATTCTTCAATTTCATTATCACTGGTTTTACTGGTTGGTGTGTCAATTTGAATAATAGTGGTATTAACTGGTCTTCATTGGAGTATGGATATTATTCTATCACAGACAGCGTTGTACTTCAAAATAGATCTTGAAGTGTTAGTTTTGGTGATGAATGTGATGCCATTCCTCTTAATTTTGTCATTCCCAGTATAGTAAACCATGTGATTGTCAGATTTATAGTCATCAACACCAGTTCATTTCAGCTCACTAATGCCTAGGATATCAGTGTTTATGTGTTCTATTTCATTTTTTACAGTTTCCAGTTTTCCTAGGTTCATACTTAGTAAATTATGTGTTGTGATTATTTGTACAAGCTTACACCTGTTTTACCTTATTTTGAAATGTATCCCATAAACAACGGAAGGTCCTCATGATTTACTCCATTTCCATCTTCACGGTCAAGTTTACTTTCACTCATAGTCTTACCCTATAATATTGTTAGTAAGTGCCGTCAAGTCAGTTGTGTCTCAGAGTGATTCTCTATGGTGTCCGAGGAATTACTGGTGGGTTTGAACCACTGACCTTGTGGTAAGCTGTCCAATATTTATCCTGTAGCATCATAGCAGGACCCCGCATAGGATAGAATAAAACTGCCCAATAGGGTTTCCAAGGCTATAAATATTCATAGTCTACTATCACATGCTTCTCCCACAAAGTGGCTGAAGAGTTTGAATCTATAACTTTGTTTTTATCAATCAAGTGCTTTAACTGCTGATTGCCACCATGGCTCCTTTTAAAACCATTAGGGGAAAATAGTAAACAAAAAGAAAGCAACTTTCCCTTTAAAAACAAACAAAAAACAACCTTGTGGCACCATGGACATGTATGTGATTGGATGTTGACCAAACGTATGTTAAGCAGTGCCTACCTGTATGGGAAATAGATATACCTGATTGGCATTAGAGTGTTTTCTGCATTTCCCTCTGACTAAATTAGTTTATTAATTCAGCAGAAATTTACTGTGCTGTGCATTTACTGCATTAGTCTACTATCCATATTCTCTTTTAACTTTAACGCTATATTTAATAGTACTCCATGAGCATGATCTCACTTCTCATCAGTAGGAACATGGTAGGTAAATTCATACATATGACTACATCAAATTACACATTAATGCCGTATTCAGAATGGTCCAGTTTTTATTTTTTGTGTTTTTTTTTAAAATGGGGATTACCTGTGTTGAGTTAATACGCTGAGCCCTAATTCACATTCATTCTTTTCCCCTCTCTAACAATGTTAGTTGGGATGTTGAGTGCTTCTGACCTCACAGTGCCAAATGGAGCTGGAAGCAGCCCAGTAGGTGAGTGTATTTTCACTGTTTCATTTTGTAGGCATCCATGCTAGGTAAGGCAAAAAGGAATATAGTTCCTTAACCAAGACCTTTGTACCAAATTGAAATGAAGAGTAAAAAATAGGGCCGTATAAGTAAATGTCCCTTTAAAAATTTACATTCCTTCCAAAGGAATTTTTCACCCTATCCTTGTTTTTATTCCTTACATATTGGCCTTAATTTCAATTACTCATTTGTTCAAAAAGTATTAACATTGTTCTTTTTTTAAAGCATAAACTGCTTGAGTGTAGTATTTACATGAAGATGGTTTCTTAAGGAGACACTTTCTATAATTGTTTATTTCTGTCCTCACTGAATTAGCTAACTGATCTCTCTGATAAGAGCATGAAGTTTTATTAGAATATGAAGAAATGGTGGGGCAAGAGCTAGAAATACAAAGAAAATTAAGGGGTTCTTTGGAGGATCTGATTTGGAGGTCACACATAGAAGACTCACACTTTGTCATAATTATAGCCAAATAGGGACTTTGGCACTTCTCCCAAGTTTAAACATGTCATACATGTACCTCACACTTAACAATAACAGCAACTAGCTTTAAGTGCTGGTAAAGATAGATAGTATGATCTTATAATATTCCCTTGAATTGTCATCATGCTAAATCATCCTTGTTTTTGTATTTCATCATTAATTTAGATGTTTAAGCTCTTGCAACTAGGTTCTTACAAGTTGGGAAACACTGACAAATTATTTCTCCCACAAAACTATAATCACATGTTCCCAGACAGTATAAAATATGGTTAAACTAACATTAATACATATTACCATTTTATCAATTAAAATAAACAAGTTATCAAGGATACAAATATAAAATTATATAGCTCAGAAGGCATTACAATAATTAGAGTCTGCTCAGTTCATTAGCTGAAACCACTTTTTTAAAATTTATTTTGCAAAAGAGGTTGGAAAGGGCAAAACAAAATCACCCTTCAAAAATAAATTGGTTAATAACATCCAGTTGATGAGAAAAAAATTTAAAAATTGTATAATTATAAGTGGTTTTAGCTATAATAAAACATTACTGCTTCTTAAAAATATTTACTGAATTAAAGAGCATATTCTATATGTTCTGCAAAAGACAAAGGCAGCATTTCGCCCCAGATATTTAATAGTCCCCTCTTATTCTTAAAATGGTCCCTCCCTGTTAAGTTGCACCCTGAAGTGCAAACATTAAATGTAAGGGTTTTTTGGGGGGCTATTTTTCCCATCTAGAGACATTAGAAACATGTGCTTCTGTACAATGTATGTTTTTCAAAATGAAATTTATACAATGATATTAAATAATCACTGTTAAGACTTGGTTAAAAAATGCAACAAAAATCAATGGTTGAGGTTCAGGTTTTGGCGGTGGCAGAGACAGCCAGGTAGGTAAGGGATTGAAAAAACAGAGAAGTTGCGCTCACGGAACAACACCAGAGCTCTGGATCTTGCATAAGGTGCAAGGCATCCGTTTCCTGCATGCACACGTGGAAAAATTATGATATAAAGGAAAATACTAGGAGTTAGAAAATGCTTGAGATGAGGCTCCCTATCATGCCTTCTTTGCCCAACCTG